CCCCGGACAATACTGCTTCCACCATACTGAAGCCTTCAGTTCATGTTGGATATAAGTCGCTTCGCGAACTGTCCCACTTATATAACTGCGACAGTGGGTAGTGATAAAGATAACACATACAGTCTTTGAGGCCAACCTGAACTAGCATAGATGTAGACGGGTGTAATCGAGAGAGAGAGTTTATGCAAACCCTAAACCTGAGGCTATATTTTACACACACATACACCACTGATCTAAAATCATCGCGCTATTTGAACCCCCGATTTTCTATCCATTCCAGATCTACGAAGTTGGGTCGGCCTTGTAGAATTGAATCTAGGTACGAATCAGCTGACAAAATTGCCAGATGACGTGGAACACTTGACCAATCTGGAAGTGCTTATTTTGAGTAACAATCAATTAAAAGTGAGTACTATAATTCTGTACAATTTTTGTTTATTTTAGCGTAATTCAATACGTTTCATACAGGGCAAACAGTAAGATCGTAATGTGTTTTGTTCATTTTTCTCCACTGATTAGCGTTTTCCAACCGTTCGACCACCCATCCACCCACCCCTTTTCTTCCCTTCACTTTCGTTTCAAAACATTTTTTTTTCTAATCTTATCAGCGGATACCTTCTACGATCCAGGAATTACGAAAATTGCAAGTGTTGGATTTAGAAGAGAATCATTTAGATTGCTTACCGGTGGAGATTGGTGAGTGTTTTATGCATCTCGCACTTTGCATGTCGTTTGTTTTGTTCCCTTTTATTTATTTTTTAAAGCTGACTATTCTAGGTTCTGTCTTCTCAGCGTCTTGCTCTTATTCCAAGCTGGTGTCTGCACCTCTATCCACCAGTCAGTCAGTCACCGTTTGCAGAATACCAAATCTAAACTTTTCCCATCGTTAATTTCAGCTGATATGGCTGAAGCTTCAATTTCCTTCTTCCCATCATTAGTTTTGTGTCCTGTATTGTTATTCCGATACTGGCGACTGCTCCTTGCTTTAATTTTTTTTTTAATCTTCGAACACTGCATACTTGAAAGATTTCGACGTTCACTTTTTTTGTTTATTACACATTTTTCGTGTGGTGAACAGCAGACGGGGAAAGCCCCATTGTCACGAGGACTTGCTGCTGTTTAGCCATACAAATCGGGAACCTAGGCCTCAGACTTGAAGTGGTAAAACACATAAGGCCCGGATAGGTTGGGCGTCGTATTAAACCGGACGACAGCAAAGTTGGATGGTTAGTTGGGCTCCAACTTTGGCACATAGAACTCAAAGCACAGCGGTAACAGCGACCTAACCATTGCCCTATCATCACCCAAAGGCTACGAACCACTGGACAGCTGTTTCCATTTGATGGGATCTCATCAACAGTGCGAATTCATTGACGAAACTGGGGATTGAACACGGGACCTCATCACAGGTAGAATGCAAGCTTATTACCCACTCA